GAATCCCCCCCCCCGCCCTGCTGGCCAGACGTCTTTGGATGCAGCCCAGGATACAATTGGTCTTCTGGGCTGCGAGAGCACATTGCCAGCTCATGTCCAGCTTTTCATCTACCAGTGCCCTCAAGTCCTTCTCTGCAGGGCTGCTCTCAATCCCTTCATCCCTCAGCCTGTATTGATATGAGGGGTTGCCCGACCCAGGTGCAGGACCTTGCCCTTGGCCTTGTTAAACCTGATTTTCACATGAGCCCACTTCTTGAGCTTATCCAGGTCTCTCTGCATGGCATCCCGTCCCTCAGGCGTGTCAACTGCACCACTCAGCTTAGTGTCATCTGCAAACTTGCTGAGGGTGCACTCAATCCCCCTGTCTTTGTCATTGATGAAGATATTAAACAGCACTGGCCCCAGTACGGACCCCTGAGGGACACCACTTGTCACTGATCTCCATCTGGACATCAAGCCATTGACCACTACCCTCTGGATGTGACCACCCAACCAATTCTTCATCCACCAAACAGTCCACCCATCAAATCCATATCCTTCCAATTTAGAGAGAAGGGTACTGTGGGGGACCATGTCAAAGGCCTTACAGAAGTCCAGATAGATGACATCTGTAGCTCTTCCCTCGTCCACTGATGCAGTCACTCAATCACAGAAGGTCACTATGTTGGTCAGGCAGGACTTGCCCTTGGTGAAGCTGTGCTGGCTGTCTCAAATCACCTCCCTGTCCTCCATGTGCCTTAGCATAGATTCTAGGAGGATCTGTTCCATGATCTTCCCAGGCACAGAGGTGAGGCTGACAGGTCGATAGTTCCCAGGGTCCTTCTTTCTACCCTTTTTAAAATTGGCTGCAATATTTCCCTTTTTCCAGTCCCCAGGGACTTCACCTGACTGCCATGACTTTTCAAGTATCATGGAGAGTGGCTTGGCAACTACATCAACCAATTCCCTCAAGACTCTGGGATGCATCTCATCAGGACCTATAGACTTATTTATGTTCAGGTTCCTCAGGTGGTTGCGAATCTGATCTTCTCTTACAGTGGGAGGAACTTTGCCCCCCTGATCCAAGTCATATGGTCCATTGACTCGGGAAGCGTGAGGAGAGAGGTTTCCAGTGAAGACTGAGGCAAAAAAGTTGAGAACCTCGGTCGTCTCCTCGTCTAGTTTCCCAGACTTGCTCATCAGGGAGGTACACTTTCTTTGACCTTCCTTTTCTGGCTGACATACCTGTAGAAGCCCATCTTATTATTCTTTGTGTCCCTCACCAGGTTCACCTCCAGCTGAGCCATGGCTTTCGTGACTCCATCCCTACACAACTGAGCAGCGTCCCTGTTCTCTTCCCAGAATACCTGTGCCTGCTTCCACTGTCTGTGCATTCTCTTCTTTCCCTTTAGTTTGACCAATGGGTCATGGCTCAGCCATGCCAGCCTCTTCCCTTACTTGCCTGATTTCTTGCACCTGGGGATCAAGAGTTCTTGTAATCTATGGAAAGCATCCTTAAAGATCTGCCAGCTCTGTTCTGCTCCCTCGTCCCTGAGGGCCATTTCCCAGGGTGTCCTGTTGATTAACTCCTTGAAGAGCTGGAAGTTTGCTTTCCTAAAATTCAGGGTCCTGACTTTACTCTTCACCTGACCCATATGCCTCAGAACTGTGAACTCCACTGGTGCATGATCACTGCAGCCCAGGATGCCTCCAATTTTGACATCACTGATTAGCTTACTTGCATTGGTGACCAACAGGTCCAGTATCACATCCCCTCTGGCAGGGCTGTCTCATTACCTGGCTTAAGAAGTTATCCTCAATGTATTCCAGGAGTGTCCTGGATTGTCTACAGCTTGCTGTGATACTTTTCCAGCAGATGTCAGGGTGGTTGAAGTCCCCCAGCAGGTTGAGAGCCTGTGAGCACAAAGTTTCCTGTAGTTGGAGAAAAAAAGGCTTCGTCAATAGGCTCCCCTTGACCAGGCAGCCTGTAGTAGACACCAACCACGAGGTTCCCTTTGTTGCCTTGGTCTCTAATTCTTACCCATAAGCTTTCAACCTGCTCATGGCTGTTCTTCAGGGACAGTTCTTCACGTTCTATCCATTTCTTGATGTAGAGGGAAACACCTCCACCTCTCCTACCTCACCTGTCCCTTCTGAACAGCCTACGGCCTTCGATAACTGCACTCCAGTCATGGGATTCGTCCCACCAAGTTTCAGTAATGGCAACTAGGTCATAACTTTCTAGCAGCATGGTAGCTTCCAGCTCCTGCTGTTTGTTGCCCATGCTGTGTGCATTGGTATAGAGGCACTTCAGCTGGGCTGTCCTCTGTGTCACCTTCTTAGAGGAATACCCCTTGGTTCCCTTGAGGAATTTCTCTGATATTTCCCTGTTGGCTCCTATTACCTCAAGAGCCCCCTGCTCATCCCATAAGACTTCGACTGTGCTGCAGGGTCCCCAGCACACCTCAGATCAACAGGCCGAGGGCTCTCGCTAGCACCCCATCCCCTGCTAGTACCCAGTCCCTCTAACCATGGTGTGTCATCGCACCCCTTATCACAGGCAAGCCTGATATCAACCCCCTCCCCCTTCAAATCTAGTTTAAAGCCCTGTTGATGAGCCCCACAAGCTTTGGCCAAGCTTTGAATTAGAAGGAAGCAAAGAACAGAGAATGAAACCAAATGAATGATAGGAAATCACTAATATACCTGAAAGACATTTGAGAATTACTTGGCCTCCTGTCTGAGTTCACTGAACTTTACAGAAATTAACTCCTTCAGTATCTGCTTTGATTAAAAACCACAGGGTAACATTGATTATCAAAGTAATGGCTAAATTATAAAAAGACTGGTCAGATGTAAAGTATGGATGATATAAACTGAAGGAAATTCTGCCTATATCTGCTTTCTGTGACAGCTGAACTGATTGTGAATGTGAGAATAACAGGACAGTTTGCAAGCAGGTTAAATTCAATATAATAAGAAAGAGCTTCACATATTGAAATATAGAAGAAGCCTCTGATTTCAGAAAACCACATTTTGAAGAACTGAGAAATCTATGACTTGAAGATGCAGAAGTCTGTTATTAGTGTTCCTTAATCTCTTTCGTACTTTTGGAAGAGAAGGTACTAGAGACTTGTTGATTATCCAAACAGCTGACCTGAAATTTCCTCAGGTCTTTAGGAGTCTGCATAATCAGAATTCAATGGCAAGGCATGACAAGGCACCAGAAGAGAGCAGATTAGAAAGCTAGAGTAGAAAAGACTAAGGGCAAACATGATAACAGCTTTAATATGTAACAGTACTAGAAAGAGGAAAGTAAGAAAATGTTTCCAATATCTGTTGGAGATAAATGGGCCTGACTTGCAATAAAGGTGAGGTTATATGTTAGGAAAATATTTTAAAATAAGGAGCTTTTAAACTTACTTAAAATGGGAAAAAAACAGCCTTATATTGAAACAGGAAAAAATGCAGGCAAACAGGCATATGGGGGTCGTATGAATGATGAACAAACATTTTTGCCAAAGTTTGTGGAGGAATAAAACTACTTTATAAAATGTAAAAAAAAGATATACTCTATGTCTTTTGAAGGTATTTGTTAATAAGTGATTTGTACCTATCAATCAAAAACATTTTTTTTTTTACTAAACTATATGTGATATAATGGAGCAGATCTGTCTGCCTCAGTCCATCTTTAATTACTTCTTGCAAATTCTTTGGTAGATCTCCCATATCTTCTGCTGAA